TCAAAATTAGAGAATTGAAGATGTCATCACAAAATGAACAAATCTGAGAAAGGTCTACATGTAGTATTTATATATGTAATATCAAAGCAATTGAACTATTGGTTTTTAACAAGAAGTCGAAAATATCACATTTTTACCAAAAATTACAAAAATATTCACCAAAATTAGAGAATTGAAGATATCATCACAAAATGAGCAAATCTGAGAAAGGTCTACATGTAGTATCTATATATGTAATATCAAAGCAATTGAACTATTGGTTTTTAACAAGAAGTTGAAAATATCACTTTTTACCAAAAATGACAAAAATATTCACCAAAATTAGAGAATTAAAGATATCATTACAAAATGAACAAATCAAAGAGAGGTCTACCCAAGGTACATATACACCAAGTATCAAAGCATTCAGGCTTGTAGTTTTCAAGAAGAAGTCGAAAAAGTAAAACATTGACATGAACGACGGACAATCACTCATATGATAAGCTCCGCTCGACAAAGTCGACAGCGGAGCTAAAAATCAACGCAACTACCATGCCTGTTGTTTATCCATCCAAATAAATTATGCTAATTAGCCTTGCGCATGTGCGTTCTTGTTCTTCCGGGGGGTTATGATAACTCGAGTCAAAAAGTAGAGTCGCTTCCGTTACTGCCTACTGCTTATCGATCACTGTGAGGAATGTGTGTGCAGTATCGTCTCGTTGTCCAACTAAATTTATTCAACTATTTTGTTTTCTCGGTTGCTACTGCCTCGGTACATTTAACAATAGATGTTTTTAACAATGATGTTAAATTGACCTCAGTTCACTGGCCAAAGTCGCCAGGCATATTTCACATGTTTCTATTGTTGCATCAGTACAATAACATGGAAGTCGCACAGATTTCGATTGCGCAAAGTAATGTTTTGATTAGGGATAAACCATTTCGTAAGTGAGGTAGGTCGAGAAGATCTTTGAAAAAAAATGAACAAAATGTTAAGGGAATTGTGATTGGGGAGGAAACGTTGTCACGTAACTGGAAGGAGATCCATCACTACAATATATAAGTGTTCGTATACGTGACGTTGTAGGGATCAATAAAGCACTGCTAACTGTCCCTCTCCCTTCTCCTTGAAAAAATTTGCTATAGCACAGAGACATTCCGATTTATTAGTGTACGAGACACAATAAATATTAAAAGAAACATACAAATTCAGAATAGCTAAGCAACGCAAGCCGAGTGATTTCTTTAGTAGGAAATGAGACTCAAACTGCTGCTGAACATGAACTTTACTGTACAAATCTTCAAATATTTAATTTTCATACTACTCATTATTGTGCAATGATCGATTTTTGTGAAATGATTTTAGTTTACATAATACAATTTAAAATCAACATTTTTTATTTGTAATAAAGTGTTTGGATACTAGTGTAATAGTGTGTCAAAAGGGGTTGCGAGATCTGTTTTAATACATTGATTCAGTGCCTAATTAATATTCATGAATAAATTCGTGAACCTGTATAGAAAGGCCACCTGTCTATAAAGGCCAAAATTTCAAAGTCCCTTGGGTGGCCGCTATAGACAGGTTTGACTGTATATATTTAATAATGACAGCAAACAATACTGTTATTTTAAGTTTGGGTGCAAATGACCAGTTCTTGTCACTCCCAATACACCTGCCTATAGTGTACATTACATACATTCTGTAGTGATTCTAAACATAATGCTGGCTACACTGTAAACATGGTGCTCATGGGGTTAATAAAGCAAATTATCACAAACCTCTATTTTTAAAGTTTTTGGTTGGATCACATGAATTTTGTTTCTATAACCACACCACACCACATCATAGACAACGACCATACAACGAATAGAATGATGTGGACGACCTAGATCTAATAAATGATAGTTAGCAAGATTCCATTGGCCATCTGAAACAAAAAACATGTATACCATTAACACATTGACAGTGGTACTCCAGAATATTCATTATTTGACATTATCAGTACAATGCACATACCTTCAGCTCTATGAAAAACAGCAATAGTACCATCAGCTAGTGCAACAAGTACTCGACCTTTGACATGTCTATAATTAAAGAAATTATATTCATCAATATTTGAGTGTAATCCAGTGTACTGTATATAGTGGGCAGTGATATAATGAAGTACACTATATAGTATTAGCAAAGTATAATGCAGTGTACTGTATATAGTGGGCAGTG